TTGAATTGATACACTAGCCTTTGTCCTTCAACTTTTGCTAGAATTCCTCTTTGATAATAGTATCTGAAAGAAATACAGATGTGTAAAACATTAATTTAAATAAACTATTTCCATTCAGTTTCTAACCTTTAAGTTACTTTGTTCATGAAAGTGGTATCTCAATTTTTTGTACCTAAAGTACTTAATTTTAGAAGGCAAATGAAGTAAATAATATTTTCCTTAGGACTGTAAAAGTTGGCATGGTAGTTTAAGAACATTAAAAAGGTTGTAGAGAAAGCATGATACCTGCATTGCTTTAAAAAAACAATTTCAATATTTTTATCTCTTTTTTTTTCTTCATTTTTTTTGTTCTTTACCTCAAGGCTCTTCCCATTGTCTCATAGTTCATATCAGGCTTGTTCTTGTGTTTTCCCCACAACTTGGAAACTGCTTTTGAGTCCACAAGTTTAAAAATGCCTTTTTCTCGCTGAGTCCATTTGATATATCGAGGGCAGGTATTTTTATCTTGAAGTAAATCCAGAAGGAATTCCCACAAATAGGTAGTATTTCCTATTTGCAAAACATATATTTCAGGAAATCAAAAAGCTAATTACCTCCAAACAAACAAAATTATGCAATTAATTAAGCTAGCATATTGGAATAACATTTAATTGATATGTTACATAGTATTTTTATGAAAGCTAAGCATATATTAAATATATTTTCAAAATGGGCAGAAATCAATTTTTTTGAAGGAGATAGTTAAAACTACAGTGGATATTTTTGCCATATAGTAGTTATTTACTTATTTAAAATGATATGGCAAAAATATCCACTGAGAGCTTTCTAGAGTAGGAATTCACTGTGTAATTGTTAGTATTTGTCAAATCATCTTGCAAATGCATTTGTACTTTCCTAAATGAACATCCCGTATTTTTTACTTTTGGAATGAAAGAATTATTAACGTCATTTAAAAATACTTTTATACATAAATAATCAAATAAACGTGTTGAAATTTATCTCCTTGCCAAAATAGCAAACTAGTTAGCATCAATTTTATTAAAAGCTTTATCAGAAATATGAATCAAAAGAATACATTGTTTAAAAATGTATTTCCCAAGAGCATCTAATATTAATAACTTCAAGATTAAGTAGTTAAATTTTCTTCAAAACAACATATAATCTACTATTCTTATATCAGCCAAAAAAAGGAAAAGAAAACAAGCACTCCTGTTCATTTTTAGCAAGATTTGTAAGCAGCAAGCCAAAAATGAAGGTCATTCTCAGATATTTTTTTTAACAGGCTCCCATTCTGAATATATATGGCTATATTAAGAAATAGCCAAATATGTATATCTTAATACTACTTTGAATTTCAGGGTAGGGGCAGCAATGATATAGGTTTTTCTCTAAAGAACTAATGTATATTAGACAACATAAAGGTCTAAGAATATAATGCAATACATGTAATGTAAAATGTAATATATGATATACAAAATGTAATATAACACCACATATCTATATAAAGACCCCTTAGCAAAATATCAGAATTTGCAAATTCTAACCAGGGGAAATTAGAATAAACTTTTGTTTGTTTTCCCACCTATTTAATTGAATGTATCACCTCAACCATCAAAAAACAAATATTACAACCTTAAATAACTTTATTAGAGACAGATACATGATGATATGAAGTAAATACCTATGAGCAACTGAATAAGGCATGCAACCTGTAAACAGTATGCAACAACAAAAAGCCAATCCGTAGATTCCCATAGGTGCTCAAAATGATCTCACCAGTAATCTCTCTGCAACTATTAAGCAAAAGTAAGGTCTTATTACAGACAGACTGGTGAATCCATGAATAGATGCCTATCATTTTTGTGTCAAAATGCAAAACAAGTCTGCTTTCTGTCGTTGTTTTTAACTTCTCATTCTGGTTTTATAGTTCTCATATTTCTTGGAGGCCTCCCACTGAAACACTAAATAGATCCAGTCCTACTTAGCTTTAAACAAGATTGCCTGGATGCTGTGACTCTCCGGGAGATACAAGTAACAGCAGTACCCTCCACTCAACTGTCCTTGAAGGCCAATACAGGAACATTCCCTACCTGGAGAGATAATGCCCTTGTGACTCTGGAAACACAGAAACAACAGAGCATGTGCTTCTCTATATTACAATGCCTGTATTACAGAGACATTCATACTAGCTTTGTCTCACCATTATTGCATAAATACATACCCAGATGCACATGACAATTTTAAACCTCCCTGCTGCTTTCAGATACTAATCCTGCTGCAGCATACAATGCTGTCAGGTTCTGCGCAGCAGCGCTGAAAATCTATCAGACCTGTGTCATAAAACAATCTTAATGAATACCTAGTTCATCATACCAGAGTGCTCTACACTGTGATAGATTAGTCTGCCACATATTTACACCAATCTATTGCTCCTATCTTCATTTAGATTTCTTTCAGAATTTGATTTTTAAATGTACCATTTTATATTTTTAGCTTTTTAATAATAATTATTATGTAGACTCTGATATATTTTCTATGCTTTTTAATTGATTATACCCCACCCTTCATATACTGGTCTTTGACTGTAACAAAGATTTGGCAGAACTAATAGCAATAAGGAAATAATTTTATCAACTATATGAAAATCAGGAAACAAGGGGGAAAGAGCTTTAACACCTGTAATTTGCAATCTCATTCTCAACTTAGCCTTTCCATTTCGGAGATCTTGAAACAACCTAATTCTGCTGGAATGAAAAGGGACCTAGAGGAAACTTTGTGGAGAACTAGTGAGATGTGGTAGTTAAAATTTTGGACTCTAGTTCAAATCCACCTTCAACCATCAAAGGCCCCTAAGTGACTTTGAGCAAGTCATTTTCTCTCAGCTAAAAATCAGACACTAATCAACAGTAATAAATACTCTTTTAATATGCTAAGTGCTACTGTAAATCTTCAGCAGAAGTATCTATTTTCAACTGGGAAAAAAATCACATTGCCCAAGCCATGTAGACAGAAATATACCAGAAATCAAAACTCTAGCAGTACCTTAGTTGTTGTTGTTTGACCTTTATTGTTAGGCATTAATGCTATGGGGAATATTATATTTACTACATATCTCACAATATTTAAAATAAAACATAATTAACATATTACCTTTGCCCTCTCTTGGCTTCTTTTTTATACCCAAGTCTGGAGATGAATTGGAAATGGTTGATGGCACTTGAGATTTTGGCTTACGGCCAGCTGTAGAGAACAATTTATTAGCGTGAAACAATCATAGAAATAGTATTTCTCACCTTTAGTTCTCTCAGAGTTTAGTTTAACAAAAATAAATCATCAAGGTTGATCTGATGTAGTTTTAGAAATACTGGTGCAGAAGGCTAATGTTTCCTACTTACAATCTAGAACACTACTCCATCAGAGTAGGAAAACAATACAGTGCAAGTGCAACCATAATTATCATCAGCCTTACCTTGAAAGTATTTATTTTAATTAAGCATTTACAATTGTTTACTGACAACTCAATCTTTAACATGTTCCAACCAAATATTAACCAGTGGAACAACTACTAAAATAAAAATATCAGTCTGAATAGCCTTTCTAAGCAAATGATCATATAGATAATATGCCAGGCTCACTGAAATGTTCTGTACTTTTAGTCATCATACCAACATACACGAAGTACCTTTCTTTTTTTTAATGGGCTCATGGATTTCTGGAGAAGTTTGTGAAGGAGATGCATCCATTGGTTCAGATTCTTCAGTGGATACTTCCACAACAGTTTCTGTAATTACGTCTGGTCTCATTGCAGCATGGATGAACTCTGGAGTTGACACACAAGGCGGAACAAAAACTTCCACTAAAGAAAGCAAATAAATAAATAAGGTAAATATTTTTTAAATTCAGATTTTTCAACTTACAAATAAATCTATTTCAAAGTTTAGAACCATTTCCAAAAGGTGCAAAATAAAAAATAAAGTTTTCTCATCATTCATTTGCATTCAGTTGCTAGAATACCCACAAATACTGTGGTGCTGCCTGTATTATATGACACACTATGGGCTAATCTGCATTTTTTAAAATTAAATTAAATAGTAATTGTTTTCAGTACTGGAAAGTTTGTGCACTAAATTAGAGTCTGGAAAAACTGTGTTCTGTGTGACATTCATTCATTCATAAATTGAGAAAAGTAGGATTTATTGAAATGAACTAAATTGTTCACTAAATATTCATTTCAGCTAATTCTTCGATGTTATAGTCTAGTTTGTTCCTCATTAGCATATCACTTCCTCCCATTTTATAAACTATGTCACTATCACTAGATACAAACCACAAATTGCATGTAAAGGTAATAATTAAATTTGCAATGAATGTTGCTAAATTTAACCTGATGACACAAACAGAAAGAAAATTAAAACCAAGATGCAAGAAAACTATGTTTTCTGTTGGCTTCAGTTAAGAAAACCTGAGATGGGTTTATTAATTGATGTACAGATCAATCTAAAGAGATACTTATTACATGGAATTTTCTGGAAACAGAAAATGTGCAGTAATGTTACAAACAGTTTTATAATTCATACAGTAATTATGAATTACACCAACATTATTTTCATGCAGTAATGCAATATTGCACCGGGTAACACTACATATTGCACACAGTACATAATTTGTAGACCAGTTTTAGGAACAAAATTATTTATGCCCTATGAGCAGAAAGGTATAATTAAATACTAACTGATTAATATTCCTCCCTCTCACCTAAATTAAGATAACTTGAAGGTCTTAAAACGTTTAGACTGAATATTACTCAGGGGATAGTTATCTGGTAAAAAATATAAGATATTTAACTGATGTGGTTCATATACCTGGACTTCTAGCATCTCTTAAGCAGGTTGGAGATTCCATATGAAGCAAGGCTTCTGCTGCTTCAATTGTCTTATCTGAACAGTGCACATTGCTGCCATGAACAGATGCTTCCACTGTAAAAAAATAAACAAAACATTTATTTGACAGATATTGTGAGCCAGAAGTTTCATGCACCATATGTTATTTATACACATGGTTTTAGACAATATATATTAGACATATATTCTCATTTTTTGAGATGAGAGTGTATTACTTTCTTTTACAAACCTCAAAATCTAAAATCCAGTGGTTAAGTTATCATATTAAGCCAAAACCAAACCAAGCACATGATAGCTTAGAGAAATAGAAACCTACTTTACTTACTTCAAGAAAATTAAGACAAAAATGTACATTCTGCATAAAGTTCATCATTCAAGAACAGCCTACTTCATTCGGTCTCCTCCAGAATAAACTAACAAATTACCATATTTTTGCACTATAAGATGCACTCCCCCCCCAAAAAAAAATTGGGTGGAAATGCCTGTGCGTCTTATGGAGTGAATATTGCCTATAGCCGCCACCTATTGGCAGTTGGATTGGCCTCCCGGAATACCGCCAATCAGCTGTTCCAGGCGGCAGGGATTGCCGTCATCGCCCATTGCTGCTGCTACCGTTCGGCGGTGGCACAAAGGAGGCACCAACACTGTTTTTGGCTGGCCAGCCCACTGATTGGTAGGGCTACGGGAGGCCGGGATCCAGTTGTCACTCAGCTGATCGGTGGTGGGTGTAACAGAGCAGAATCCTGATGAGCCACGTGCTGGGGGCTGGGAGACAGAGGCAGATTTTTTTTGTTTTCTTGTTTTCCTCCCCAAAAGCTAGATGCGTCTTATGGTCTGGAGCATCTTATAGTGCAAAAATATGAGTAGTTAGCATATTAGAATAGCATATGAAAAGGCTGGACCATTCCTGGTCAAATTGTATGCTTTAAAGAATCCCTAAAAAGGAAAGGCTGACATAACTTATGCATGTTACAAACATATATCTTAACTGGGGTGTCTAGGCTTTTGCAGTCAACTATTATGTCCAACATTCAAACCACAAGAATACATATTTATAGAAGTAGTCCACAAAGATGTGCCAGTAGTGTTTGTGGAGTACTAAATCATAAGATTAGTGATGTCAATTTTTTTAAAAAAATAAGACAGTTCAATCAATCCCCTAAGAGGCACACATATTTGCATTTAAAAGGTAATCTATAAATATTTTTTGAATTCTAATTGCCTATTTACATTATTATGTTTAATCATTATTTCAAAAGAACCAAATTAAGAACATCCCTGATCCTTATCTTCTTTACTGTTCACACTCCTAAGCAAATGAATCAGACAAAGATTAAGCTAAGTGCCTAATATCAAGTACATCAATTGTAATAATCTGATTAAAATTTAGATTATGAGAAGTAACCCATTCCGTATTAAAGCTTTTTCTATATTAATTCACTAACCAGTTTAATATCTGTTTATAAAAATATGAGCACTAATCTAATTTCAAGGGCATCAAAAGCAAAGATGTTGACTTTAACTTATCTGCACAAATGTAGAAATGGCTATAATGCATTTTTTTCTTTTATTGGGGGAGGAGTCTACCATCCTCTTTCATCTTCTATTTCCCCACATACACACTAGATTTATTCAACTGAGTCTTTTTATTCTACACCATTTCTTAAATTCCAAATCCAAACTGGAATTTTCTTCATTTAAATGTAAAGTTGTCCCCTAACTTTCATTTGGAAACTTGTAACATGGCAACTTCTGGAGAAATCAATGCAGAGCCGACAACTGCAGTGAAAGGAGGAATCAGTGAATGGATTGGCTCATTGGAATTACTCTCTAGATCAGGGGTGTCCAACCTTGGCAATTTTAAGACTTGTGGACTTCAACTCCCAGAATTCCTCAGCCAGCTTTGCTGGCTGAGGAATTCTGGGAGTTGAAGTCCACAAGTCTTAAAGTTGCCAAGGTTGGACACCCCTGCTCTAGATCAAGGAGAGAATAGGGATCAACTACCAGCTTGCTCCATACAAAATGTCCCTGCAAAGAGAAGATAAAATAAATATTTCCAGCAGGTTTGATAGCTCTGGGAGTTGACCATCTTGCCTAAGGCATGGTTCAGCAGCTCTTAACTACTTTAGGAAGCTGCTTATTATTTCCTTGTGAAGAACCTTCTGAAGGGCAAGTGAAAGACACGTTTCATTAGAAAAGGAGTCTCTCCTACCTTGGAAGAAAGAAGTTCTATGTAAGTTTAGGGATTAAAAGGGAGGGGGGGATTAACTTTTGGAAAACAGCAAAAGGGAGCCAGAATGTTGATTTTGAAAAGTTAAAGGGATAGATTGGTTTGAAAGTGTATTTCTTGTGAGGTGTTCACATTTTTATAAAGGAATATATGAAGATTTTGAAATTAATTATCAGAAATTGTTGCCTGGAAAAGTTTTGTTGACTGGAAAATGAACAATTGGTAAGAGATGACTTGAAAGTTGAGTACAGGGAACCAGAAAGAACTAACAATTACAATCAAAGAAACAGCAGGCCATTAATACAATAAATCAAGGCTGTCAAATTCCTGGCCCGATACATCACGCACTGGCCATACCCATGCCTGGTTTAGCAAGGGGGGGGAATCCTAATACATCATGTGACACCGCCATGACGATGTGAGTTTGACACGCCTGCAATAGATCAATACTGTTTGACTAGAAGAATTCATGGTTGTTTGAAGTCAGAAATTACAAGATTGTGTGGTACTAACACAGAGGATACAGAAGAACAACACATTTTACTGGATAAACTGGTGCCCATTTGAATGTGGATATTTTTTTTTTAAATGCCAATTACAAAAGTGATATGGAAAATATCAGAATATAAGAGTGACACAGAAAAAGATGCCACAATGTATTTACAAATAAAACCACTTTATGTCTTAATAATTAAAGGGGACCTACAAACAATAAATCAGAAAAGTGATCTGAAAACCTTCTGTTGGATTTACAAAAAGAGACATATTAAACTAATGAAGTTGTTCCTGAAAGGAGACAAAGTAAGAAACCAGCTTGTGAAACTTATTTGATGGGTTTAAAGATTAAGAAAAATTAAACAAAAAGAATTTAAAGTGGACTTGTTTGATCAGAGGTAATATATTGTGATTTCTGATAGGTATTAATGGAATTCATTTTTAATAAGCACTATATGACAAGATTTTAAAAACTATAAATAGGAGAGATGTTTTTTGTTTCTTAGAGAAAAGTGATAAATTGGAATACAAAATGGACTTAAAAGATTAAGGTTAAAATGTAGCATGTTACAATTTCTGGTAGATCTTAGAAGACTTTTGCCATTTATAATTGAATGATGAGTTTTTATTACAGGTAGTTCTCGACCTACGACTACAATTGAGCCCAAAATTTATGTTGCTAAGTGAAACATTTGTTAATTCTGTCCAGTTTTTTCTTCCCACAGTTAAGCAAATCATTGCAGTTGTTAGTACCACGGTTCTTAAATGAATCTAGTTTCTCCATTGATTTTGCTTGTCAGAAGTTTGCAAAAGGTGATCACATGACCCCAGGACATAGGAACTGTCATAAATATGAACCAGTTTCCAAGCACCTGAATTTTGATCATGTGACCATGCTGCAATGGTTGTAAGTGTGAAAAACGGTCATGTCACTTTTTTTAGTGCTCTTGTAACTTTGAACAGTCACTAAATGCATTGTTGTAAGTCAAGGACTACCTACATATTATTAATAAAAGATAAGATAGGGTAAGATATTTATTGAAATATTAGAGGTGTTAAGTTACTGAAATTGTATATTCTTATCTAGAGAGAAGGGAAAGTTATCTTTTAAAAATCTTTGTTTCTTACACTTTATTTTCTTTTTCAATCTTTTTGTATTTCTTTTTTTTTTACTTTATATATTCACTTAGTTTGTGTTAGTCTTGTATCTATATATACTTAAAATTATTTCAAGGAAAATGTGTAACTTGTACCTTTCAATTATTACTTTAAAACCAATTTTTCACTAAAGCAAGACCTTTTTTCCACTAAATTAACATTTGACTCAGTATATTGTTTACACTATAATATTTTGTTTGCTTACTTAAAAAGGGAAAATAGTTAATGGCTAATGTTTAAGGTCCTGTATCACTAAAAACACCTTACAGATATTGTGATATTGACCAACCAATACATAAAAAGCACACATAGAAAATTTTGGTCTTCTAACAGTGGAAACTGTTAAAATCAGCAGCAAATAGTACCACCTGCTGCATATTATCTATACACACGAAGGTGTACACAAACACATTCACATTCTCTTTCTCTCTCCACTTGCTCTTTCCATTTATGGAAATCTATTCAAAGCTAAATCCTTCCAGCTGAGCTGTCAGCATCTAAAGATATCTTTAGAATAAGCTGGATCACTTATCAGCAGTGCCAGGGAAACTAATGAAGAGTCAACTGGTGCTTCGTTGTTAGAACTGTTAACTATTCTGTTAACTTCGAACTTCGTTGTTAGAACTGTTAACTATTCTGTTAACTTCGAAATTCGAAATGGAATATTAAACAAGAAAAAAATATTTTACTCATTGTCTTTTCAGATTCAAATCATGTAAGAAAGCTGCCTCAGAAAGAATCATGGAAGAATATTTCAATAAACAATCCCAGTTTTTCTAAAACAGCTTATGGTATCAGTCATTATCATTACCAAAGAGCAAGATTTCAAAACCAGCTTCCCATCTATACCAGCAAAAAATGAAGGCAAATAACCATTATGAAAAATGGAAAAGGACAGACCTATATACATGCAAAGCTGCCATTCTTTTCAAATATTTAGAATAAGATGGTTTTCAGCATGCATTATTATTATTACTATGATTATTACCTCAGACACTATTTCAAGAGGTTTCTTGCTAAGTAGCAGCTAGAAATAATTCAATAATCATACAATCCACATGCTCCTGTTAAAATTAAGCTTTGTGATTTTCAGTGGAGCTTTCTGTTACGTAACTATAAATACTACTCATCAATATAAAAGAGTCTATAGGGAAATGAATAGCCATCATCCTTATCCAAAAGGAGAATCAATAAATTCTATAATTAGTTACCAGAAAAAAGAGTAATACTTTCAAGAAAAAGTTCTCAATATACAGGTTTGCATTTGGAAAGGTCTTTATTATTCTAGACAGTTTTACCAATATTTATAAATAACTTTTTGAAAATGTTACACCCTTAAGCTAAGACTACTCTGCTTATTCCAAATTCTAATAATGTGCCAATGCAACTAAATTTTACATAAAGAAATCTGTACAAACTTGTTGACCAAATCTCATATGATTGAACGGCAAAATTTATGGAAAAAAAACTGGTAAGAATTAGGAAGTCAATCAAAAAAAAACCCAAAGCACAAATATATTATCATTTTACAACAGAAATATTTACTTTGATGCCTAACAAGCAGAACAATGAAGAGTATTTTATTCCTCACAATGAGACCTAAATGATTGGCATGAATTAATCACACATGTTCAAATCTTCCTTATTCACTCACCACAGAGAACCAGAATTGGGAAAGATGGAGAATGGGTTGATCATTGATCTGTTAGGATCATTTTAACCATGTTTATTAAATAAAACTATAGTGACTGTATTTACAATGCATTCTAAGCCACAATAAAATATACTAATTAGCATTTATCACAATCCATATTTGACTTATTTGGAAGCTTTTGATTTCAATGTAACAAGCAACTATAATTAACTGAATCTTCCTACTTTTACAGATGGTCCTAAACTTACAATGGTCACTAACTGAGACTAACTCAAAGTTACAAGGGACCATCTCAGAGGTACTTACGATCTGTTCTGAAATTCCAATGGCCAGGATCCCCCATGATTACATATAAGGGCTTTTGGCAACCAGCCAACATTTACACCTATTGGCAGCATCTCAGAGTCATGTGATTGCATTTTATAACATGTTCGCTAAAAACTGACATTTACTCAAGAAGAGTCTCTACTGTCAGTGCATCCACTCTCTGGAACTGATTAATCCATATTAAATTGTGTCCTCTCACCTCCAGTCTTACAAGGAAGATGAGCAGTTTCTAAATAAGATATATAAATTAATTAACCATACTGTGATCACACAAAAGATTAAGGTGAACACTTGAGTTATGGAAGAATCATTACATTCAATTTGAAGTAAATTAAATTATTTGATTTAGAACCAGTGTGTGTGTGCTCTCTTCTAATGTACGCTTGAACAAAATAAACAGACTAATTGCCTCTAAACAGCAGGTATTTTCAACCTCAATTTTTGTCAAATGATACTGTATTTTTACCAATAACAAGGCATACTAATAATATTAAATATCAAATAACTGTAATAATGATATACATTAAATATGCAATAATGCAGCTTAGCATTATATATAAATTTCAATAATTTAATCAAGACTTGTAGAGTCAACCACTGTTATCCCTCAATTTACCACTAGGGACCAAGGCTGAAAGATAACTTGCTTTAGGCTACAAATTTAAGACAGATGGTATCTGAAAAATAAACAACTAAAGCAGGGGTGGTCAACCTTTTTATACCTACCGCCCACTTTTGTATCCCTGTTAGTAGTAAAATTCTCTCTAACCGCCCACCGGTTCCACAGTAATGGTGATTTATAAAGTAGGGGACAAAACCCCTACTGCCCACCATGAAAGCTGAAATGCCCACTAGTGGGCGGCAAGGACCAGGTTGACTACCACTGAACTAAAGTGTAGGTCAGCTTTTAGCTACTATTTTAGATGTTAATCTCAGATTAATATTGATACTTCACCAACAATGTTAATTATAATAATCTATTAATTGCAATATAATTAGTAACAAGGGTATTGTAGCTACAGTTTACAAACAAGAAAAAGTTTAAAGAATGCATTTTCCAATATATTTAAACATTGATATCAATATAATTTGTATAATGTATGAATTTTTCAGGAGATATTATTCTATTACCACAATAATTAAATTCAAAGATACAGGCCAAGTTTTATAAAACTTTTAATGATATATTTAAATTAGTGTCCATATGCATCCTATGAATTATACCATATTGTATGTTTTAAACACTGCATACTACCGTGAGGCCTACCTGTATATTTGAATAAGGAGAACAAGAAAGCACAAATAAAATCTGTTTGATTAATTACACGCAAGCCACTAAAAATGTTTTTAACATTTGTTACTGCTGATATAATACAACACTCATGTAATTAAACATGAATCCAGAAATAACCAATTTAATGTTTTCCCAATATTCCTATTTTCATAATTCTTTTGTTGCTGTACTGTTTATTTGAAACCAGAGGAACTAATTAAGAGTAAACAAGTATTGTGGATTAAAAATCTAAACTTTGTCCTCTTAACAATAGAATCATGGAATCTAAGCAAGTTGCAAAGCTGTCATTAAGAAAGTTTGTTGAAAGAAACATTTAATAACAAAGCAAAAAGTTTGACCAAAATTGAAAATCTTATACCACATAATACTGAACATTTGTTAGCACAATTTAATATTAAATTTACCTCAAATATTATATTCAGAAGAAACTGGTATGTTTTATCAGTGACATACCACTTCGGTCTTGATTGGTAAAGTAAGTACTTTTTCCAAAAAAAATGGCAGAAATACAGATTTGATCCTTTCTCCATATATGACAGCAATATTATAAAGTTTAAAAATATTGTAAATAATACACCACAGAGTGGAACTAATTTTAGAAATTTTAATCCTGAATAATTTACCAGTACAGTGTAACCTCAGGTCACGACCATAATCCATTCCAGGACTTCAGTTGCAACCCGATTTGGTCATGACCGGAAACAAGACTGACTGTGCATGTGTTGACAAAAAAAAAAAAAAAAATGGCACAGAAGGTGAAATCACCGTGGCAGGGAAAATCGCCGTGGCTGTATTTGATCCCCACCCAAGGATCTATTCACAACCAGATGCAACAATTTTCAGAAATTTTTGGTCGTCACCAGATTTGGTCATGAACAGAAGTGTTTGTGACCCAAGGTTCCACTGTATATTAAATTTCACCAATACGTACATTCAAAATATGTTGAACTGGCAGGAATTTGCTTCAATCGCTAAAGTAACTCTGATGTAAAATTCAAATCTATCTGGAAAACCTGTCTAGACTAAAATACATGGAATTGTACTATATCCAAAATTAGGGCTTTAGAGTTTATGTTTTGACATATAATCTATGTACAATTCACATTAAACACAATCCTTGTTTAGTGACCAAATTGTGACTGGCAACTTGGTCATTAAGCAAAATAGTGAAACATGATTTTACTTTGATTTTTCTTTGCTTTACAGACCTAGGAAGGTTGTAAATCTGAAGACTGATTGTAAAGTTAATGCTGCCATGACTGCAAACAATTGCTTAATGAGGCAATCACTAAATGAGGCATACCTATATTGTCTTAATGTATTGTTTTTCACTCATAGTCTCTCACTTTTTCCTTCTTTTAATGTCTTGATTATGTTATCCAGCTATCTTTAAAATGTGATATGTTTTGCTAGAAAATGGATATGAACTACCTTACAGCAGCGATCCCAACCTTTTTGGCTCCAGGGACAGCAACAGTAGCGGCAGGGAGGAGATGCTTTTGTACTTGCAACCTGATCCCACACAAGCGCAAGTAAAGTTTTGGGCTCTCGCCTGCAGCTTGAATTGATCTGTTTCCAATGGGCCAGTAGCTGGGGTGGGGGGTGGGGGGGAACTCTGCCTTACAGTATTATAAACTTTTAATTAAGGCAACATTTGTAACTTATGTGTGTCCTAAATGGTATTTTTACAAGGCTCAGAAAAGAGGGATTTTACAGAGGAAAGAAGACAAAAGTTCCTGAAAACATAAACAGGGGGAGGGGGAAGAAACCCATACTTAAGGTAATGGACTAAGGGGGGCAGGCTCTCTGACACAAACACCTGTATTTTGCAAATTCTTTCCTCTGGAGATTTAATCATTGCCTTATTTCAGGAATTATATAAAATTGTTAAAATAACACAGTTCTACTGTGTTTTAAGAATTTCAAGGATATCTATTATTAATATATTCTGTTTTTATTCTTAATTTTTATTCTTTTGTACATCACTCCAGGTCTGTGAATTGGGTAAGGTTAAAAACATTAAATAAATGTATCAATACAAAAAAACTGAAGTACTAGGATCAGGAGTAGGTACTAGGATTAGTAGGTACTAATCCTATTAAGTGCTAGGATTTGTACTGAAAAAGGCAATAGAAGTTCAAACTGAGTCCTAAAATATATTAAATGTCAGAGTAGTACAAGACCCTCTCCTAAGCATATTGACTGTATCTTCCCCACCACAAGTTTTTTAAAGACCAGTAGCATAGAGTTATGTCTAATTCACTAGCTGTTTTGCATAGTTGGAACTGGATGTTTACATACACTGCTCCATTTGCAACATATAGGAAAAGCAATTATGAAAATTAAACAAAAATCAAAACAGAGATCAATGTAACATTACTTGCTTGGAAGCACAGAAATTCATTTCAGTGCACATGTCCATTTTAAGTGGGAAAGAACTCTTTTAAAATAATTATAACCACAGCTTTAAAATCCTAAGAATAATTAACAAGAAAATATAAATTCAATTAAACTAGCATTTTAATCTGTGTTTTCTTGCTCATGATTAATAAATTAAAGATGTTAAAAATGGAGCATTATGTACACTGAAATAATTATAAACATTCAAATGAATAGCATTTGAAATCAGTGTTAAAATTCAGTTTTATAAAACAGTTTTACCTGTTTTGGACAACATCATTTTGTAGCCAGTCTATGCCTCTCCCAAACCATTCAGTTTTCCTGGCTTTTTTATGCTTTATTTCACCTGAGCTCTCTTCCTTCTCCTGTTGTTATTACTCTTTTTTGTTCCTTTTTCCACCTACTTCTTATATCCTTTCTATGAAAAACCAGTCTTTTTACTACCAACTTGGTTTTGGATAAGTTTCTATCATTTTCTTTTTAACAGCACATGGACAACACTTATATTGCGGGCAACCATTTCTGCAAAGCTTCTCTTCTAAGATTTATATATTGCCTTTTATCCAGAACTTGAGATAGGCAAAGCAGGAATCTCCCTTCATTTTATCCACTAAAAATAACTCCAAACTGAGAGAAATGAGTAAACCCAAGTCAACCAACAAATTTCCATGGCTTAGGATGGACGAGCTTAGTTTAATACCTTAACTACTGTACTACACTGCCTCTCTTTGCCCTCTGGCTCTTAACTGTATGTTTCAATATATACTTTCCCTCTAGCAATTCGAGTATTTATAAAGTTTTAATAATATCACCATAAATCAGCCAATGAATTAAATCCTTAGGAACTCAGTCAATGTGAAATAACAGGTATTTAATACCAATCTCTATTGTAGTAGGTGGTTTTGCTGTGCAATTTTTTTTTATGCTGTGTGGATTGGCATTATACACTATTTCTAAAATTCATGCAACTCTGTTTTGTTCTAAGCTAGGGTATCAGGCAGGAGGCAGTCATGTACAAGCCTTAGGTAAAACCTACTTACAATATTCCTTTTCCGCTGATCTTTTAAAAGCAATACAAATATTTTGGGGCTGGAGAGGACTCATCAGAAGTATTTTGCCCTGTATAAGCTCACAAACAAACAACCCACCCACACAAACACAGAAACAAGCAAGAATGCTTAATTAATATCAACTGTTAATTCGTATGCACGGTGATACAATCAGAAAACCTAACGTCAAAAATTTAAAAGGAGTCAGAAAGGAATGGAATAACAACCATTAAAGTTTATTCTCTACTGAACGAAAACAAAATGTTTTTTTAAAAAAATGATCCACACTTTACGGAGCTACATCGTTTTCATCTGCATACAGAATAATTACGTTAGAAAGCCACTTCAATTCTCCGCCTCTACCCCGCTTCACTCACACGAGCCCCGCCCTCACTTCCGTATTTACAATCCTTCCTCTTCCCTCCAATTCCGTGCTTGCATTGTCAGCGCACAGAGAGCCGCCACTCAATTCTTTCTCCATGCCTATTGGCCTGAAGGAGAACAGCCCCGCCCAACAAAGACTTTAAGCATTCAGATTTCGAACATCCTTGACAGACGATTGGCCGACGAGGCCGTCTCTCCCGCCCCTCACCCAGCGTACACGGGCTCCTGTGGGAGCTCCGCGCTTCCGCTATTGGGGGGGGGGGAGAAGGGGGGAAATGGATTCGGTATCTTCAATAAAAGATAATCGCACACCGTTCGCACCGCCGAGAGCTGGATTCCCGGCCCCGCCACCTGTGCCCCTGACACCCCGGGGCCTCAGGCGGTTCCCACACCCTCCCCGTGAGAAACAAAAGTTTAGCAGGCGGTCAGGACCAGCGAAAGGAAGACTTGGAAGTCTCCGAAGCCCGCTTGCAGCGCCTCTTAATCATACACGGGGGTGGGGGGGGGGGGGGGAGGAGGTTTCCGCCCAAGAGACGCTGCAAGGAAGGCGCCTTTCCATTCCTGAGCAGCCTGGCACGGATGGCGGGCGTGGAATTGCAAGCGCCGCTCTTCCTGGTTTAACCTCGAAAGCCATCAGCAGAAGCAGCGGCAACCGATACACGCTCTCTTCCTTGGCCCCGACAGCGGCGGCTCCCGCCCCAAACGCGCACGGACGCAAAACCCCACATTGCGGGCGCAGCGCGGCCAGGTTGCTAACGCGGACAGCGCGCCAAGGTGATCACTTCCTGGATTCGTCCTCCCTCCATTACTCCGGCGCTAGTGCCGCCCTCGAGAAGAGCCCGCGAGCAGCGTGCGCAACCTCCTTCTCGCCTGGCCCACCCTTCGCCGCTTCTTTCTTTTAGGCCGCCCTCCCCGCCGGAGCCCCGCCGGATCACGTCGCCGCTTACCGGCGCGGATGAGCAGGTCGAGCTGATTCGCGGGCCCCTCATGCAGGGAAGTCGCCATGTTTATGCCGCTGGAGCGAGCGGCGGCGGCGGCTTCGCATTGACCCGCAGGGGCTTCCTGGCGCTCGGGCGGGCGCGCGCGCTCAGGCGCGCAGCCCCGCTTAAACGACGGGCGCGCGCTTCCGCCGCCACACCAGAGTCACCGGGGGCTTCGCTCGGCCGGAGCCTCCTCTGCACGCTCGCTCCCGGCCAGCCACGCCGAAGCCAGCGCTCGGCTCGCTTCTCGCCCTCCCGCGTGGAGCGGCAAGCAAGGGCCCGCGGAAAAGCGCTTCCTCTCAGGCAGGGCGCACGCGATCCTTCCGCCGCCAGCCTCGCAGACAGGAAGTGTCGGGCGGGCGCTCAGCTCGCGCCCTCCCCTCCGGAGCCAGAAGCGGGGAACGAGCGCAGCGGGTCAGGCTGGCGGGAGAGAGGAGAGGACAGGACCCGCCAGCCTTTCGGCCTCCTCCGCTCACCGCCGCGGGAAGGGATCCACCTGCTCCCGAGGCTGCCCGGCTGAGCTTTCCATTTCAGGAGGTCCGGCGGAGCGCAACGCTTGGAGCTGCTCGCTTCTCCCTCGCTTTTCGCATCTTCACGGATGGAGAAAGACAGGAGACGTGGCCACAGACGGAGAGCCAACTTTTCATTCTGTCTTCGGCGTGGAGGCAGCTTCTTTGGCACGGTTGCCTCCCGCTTCTTCCCGTCCCTTTGCGAGGCGGCACTCGGCTCGCATCGTCGGCGGTTGTTCAAGCTTGCTCCCCGCAGTGTCCGGAGTTCTGGAATCCTGAAACAGTCCCAATTCTGTTAAAGCGCTGCAGGCTGTGAATTAAGAGTTACATTACCATGCAAGTGCCGTGCACTACTTTGTCTTAGTGAGTCCCACGGTTGTGCAAGCTTACCACGAAGCAGAATTTTTTTTTTCTGCAAGATCTGATATTTCTTAGACCCATGATATGAGGAATGGTAGTGTACCCGTGAGGAGGAGCAATAGTTACAATATAGTATTACAAACTGTCAAGTACAACGAGCAATTTCCAAAGGTGATTACGTTATTCCACTTACTTTTTAAACACACTTCACCCACTTCGGGTTTATTTCCCTTCACTGTTGATAACAGTTTGTAAGTCATTGCTGCCGAGTTTTTGTCTACATCAGCAGACAATCTACATGTCATGAAAATTGTTTGCATATTTTCTTACATGTAGCTTTTATCTATGACACAAAACTGATAGATGAAGTGAAATATTAATGGAATTACATTCAAGAATGACTGTGGACCTGTCATTCAGCCATTAGTACAGCCCATAACATGACATTGTAAACAGTATAGTGTACACAGGTTGCAAACATATCAGCCACATGTCTTCCTACTCTTGACTCAATTTCTGCTTTAACATGAATTCCCCCCAAGTTATATTTGCTTTAATGCATTTTCCCTTAAAATTACTAATGCCATAAGTCTTACAAGAATTAACAAAACTCTTACATCAAAATTTTCCTTTATAGAATTTTACTACCTTTTTTTACTATTCAATTATATACTTTAAAAGGCTACTGTCTGAAAAAGAAGCATAGGCAGAGAAGGAAAAATATAACTCAATATACTCAATTTATACTCAAAAAATATACTCAATTTGAATCCTTTGGAGCCAGTGAGTCACTAAAACGTGTCCACACTTCTGTATTTTTGTACATAGCCCACTGACTATCGTGAGACTTAAAAACATTTGTGAACATATATGTTATTCCACTCAACTGACCTAGAAAAAAATTTAGATGTTCACAGAATGTTCCATGAAAATCTACTCCAATGGGACTTACACTCTCAATTACACAAGTACTGAATTGCGGCTTTAATTTATAAAGATAATTTAGCTGCTTTTCAAAGCAATTTTATTCCAACAATTTCACTTCCGGACAAAGTACAAATACCTACTAAATGCTTAAATCAAAAGATTGGTTTCCTGGACTTGCCACAGCTTTGCATGTAACTTTTAAAACACAGTACTTAGGCCCATGTAAAGCAATGAACTTGAGTATTTTCTCCATTGCACTCTTGTGCAAAAGGAAGGATAGATGTCTGCAAAGAGGCAAAAGTAGCAAAAGACCACATTTGTGTGATACCACAATCTGCCTACTTTGTTAGATGTTTGACACACCTTATTTGTAGCATCGGTGTGATGGCCTCATTTATTGCAGATATTGCTGAAAGGAGTAAACTAGGATTTGGGGAGGAAGGTTGGCCATTTCTTTTTCAGTAATATAAATGGTTTTACATTCTCGTGTATTAAATAACAACCAAACAATTCCAGAATTCATGCTGACTCATCTTATTTACTAGTTTTATTTTAAACAAACTTCCTATTAAGTTATAACAACAAAGCAAGAATCAGAAAGTGCAGTCAGCCTTGACGTTTTTTCTCTTGCTGAATGCATAGGAAAAAAAGGAGAGGCATACTCAAGCACAATGCTTTGCAAAAACCTTTTGAATGGGTCTCTTTCAAATCAAGCATACATAGTGACTACATGGGCATGTCCATATGGGTTTTTGTAGCAAAAATAAAAAAGTGGGTTGTCACTGGTTTCTAATGAAATAGTTTTTTCACTCCCCAGTCTGTTACAACCCTAATATTCACCAAAGGTTCTCCATCCAAGGCTACTCAAATAATAACCTGCTTGGCTTCTGAGTTCAGACAAGGAAAGCAGCATTGCTAAAACACTTTTTCATTGGTCACTGAATAAGAATCCCTTGTAAAAGCTACCTGTCAGATCTAACTCAAAAATTAAAACTCAGATTAAATTATACTTTTAGAGAGATTAATCATTTCCCTGTTAAGAAATTTTAAAGTATACTCAGTTTTATATAATTAGGAAAAAAAATTGAATATTGTCATTAAACATCACTGATAAAACATTGTAATCTTACCACATTGCTATTTTATAAAATATCTTTTGCGATTTGGAATCAAATTTAATATTCAGAAAAATAATTTACATAAAGTACAAATATAATTAATTTTAACAAATTGAAAAATCCAGAGGAAGAATGCTAAATTTATATTTAGGTCATTCATAAGAAAATGCAAATTTGGAGTCATTACAGGATTTGTTTTCCATAATCGTTTTAAGCAGTCTGGGGGAAAAAGAAACTTGTTTTAGAATATACCTGAGAATTTCTTATTAATGGGAATAGTTTTACTAAATATGTAGGGTTATAGACAACTAGGAAAAATATACATACCAATGCTTTTCCAGAGCAGTTTTTCCCCTCCCATAAGGTAAATCAAGGAGGATCTTTTTAACTATCCATGTTTTCATCAAGGTCTTCTACCTCCCTGTGGCAACAATATTTTAAAGTTAAAAGAAAACTTTATTTGTGCCACAGGGAGGATTTCTGATGCAATGTAAAGAACACAGAAAAGGAGACAAATGTTTAATACTACCATCAGATTAAAGAACACTTGTCTCTGGTGTCCTGAAAATAACAAATTCTGTAAGAATTAGTGAAAACTTTAACAACTGCATTTTATATGAAGTTCTTCAAACATCAAACCATATTTTTCTTATTTAAACTGGGCTTAAAAATAACACGTGTCAGTTTCAGTCCTGAATTTACATAGAAATTAAAATAAATATTTCAAATGTATATTTCTTAGAACACGCTGTTCATGGTACAGTATAGTAGGTTGGCTCTGTCTTGTCCCTATTTTGAAGAGATGGCATCTTGCTTGGATGAAGGAACAATGGAAATAGCCC